TGGAAATTCTGTGATTGAATCCAATGGGGAAAATGGGTAAACAATCCTGAAAGCAGTGTGCTTTAGGCTCCTCGCCTGCTTGGTAATGTTTAAATCTGTAGGTGTGGGTATGAACTGCCCCAGTTGCTGGGCGTTCTCTTTTAATTCAACATGTAGTTGGACTAAGGCTTTAAAAGAGTTCATTGATTGAAATTGACAGGAAAGAAAAAGTAGCTAAATTCCCCGCATGTTTTGAAATGTTTAGTTTCTGGGTATTAGTTTGCAGTCTTTAATCAGTCCTAAATCAAGTAAAACTCTCACAGGGACTTCAGCTTGAATGAAAACTGTGCAATTTGATCCATTGGCAAGGAGATTTTACAGGAAACTGTTTTCTGCAAGCAGAAGAAAATTTATGCAAGAAGGGTCCAAAAAAATGTGAAAATAAGCATCTCTTCTAGAAATAATGAAATGCAAAGTGCGTTTAATTGTGATGTTGGGTGTTCGGCGAATAAGAATATACTAAGAAACAGGCAATCTGAAATGAAAATAAAATGGGAATATTTGCCTCGCATTGAAATGATGCTTGCACATGTTTCCAGTAGACTTGTAGATCTCAAAAAAAACTTCTGTCTGGAATGTAGAGTAGTAGTTCTACTTTAATTTTCAGTGACTACTTCTGATGATAGAGGGCTGTAGATTGAAAAACAAAACTGCTTCCACTCTTGATGCCTGAAGATGCGTTCTGAGAGAGACAGAAAAAACCCTTAAAGCACCATCACTTAGTATCTTCATCAGAATTTAAATTCACAAAGTGTGCAGTATATATACACACACATTTCTGCTAATAAATTTGTCACTTTGACTAAAATGTGACTACTGTTTAAAAAGCATTCCAATTTACAGCCTTGAGAGCAAGATTCATTTAACTGCTTTTTTTTTTTTTTTTTTTTGGGTGGTTTGAGTGATCGCTTATTTTGAAATGAGGCCTAAGGGGGGCATAAGGCATGAGGAAGCAAGATGGTTTGCAGAGCTTCCAGTACTGTAAGACATGCATTCCCAAGTTTATGAACTCCTGGTTTTGGAGAAATATGTCAATGAAGGGCACAACCCCTATTTTGAAATATGCAGAATGTGTAGTGGGGAATTATCTCACGTAATATGGTGCTGTGCTTCATAGGTCTGAAAGTTTTGTCACTTAAAGCATAGGGAAAGTGCAGTCCTGTAAGTTCCAGTAGCACAAATTCCAGAGATGCAGTGATTTCTTTACATTTCCTGTTGTTTTCATCCCCCCTGTCTTTTTTCCTCCCTTTTTTCTCCCTTTTTCGACCCTTCAGTTGTCAGGCTCCATTTTGCAGTGTTTTGAATGATTGGTAACCACATTATTGTTTAAAAATGATCCTCTATTAACATTTTCGGAGCATCAAATCACCATTTTGAATTTCTTTAGGACGCTGGATTTAGAAAATGTCATGCATGCAAAGTCTATGAGATGAATGTTTTCTGCAAGTGATGTGAAATAGGGTCTTACTGAGCAGGGGGGACGTTCTCAGAAACACCATATTTGGTTTAGGGAACATTAAATGAACTTTAAGTTGTTGTATTTACAATTGTTAAATGGGAAATTATTAGTCAAAATGGTGATGATCTGGAGGACTAGTGAAAAGGTTTTATGGTAAACAAGGGAAGAGCCGGAGAGCCTCTTTTAAGGTAATTTTCTTCTGATTAAAACAGCTGTAGAAGTGAGCATCTGACTTAAAATGCCTAGGGTTCTCCTGACCCTATGGTGTGTGATTGGATGATGCTCCTTGCTGTGCATTACCTGGTGACTGGATGATGTAATGCTGCCACAGGATCAAGGCTAGATTTAGGGAAATTCTCCTCCAGTTTTATCAAGCATTGAAGCTGTGTCTTGATCAAGAGCTGCTGAGGAAACTCATGTGTTTCTTTAAAGCCTGTCTGCATAGGGAATGGTTTTTCATCATGTGTTTGTGCATGGGAACCAAAATGGTTAATGAAGCAGAGAACTCGCCTCAAGAGTAAGAGACAAGGATGCAAAAACACAGCTTCTCTTCATTTGGGAGAGAATAAGACTGAGAATTGATATGACTGAGATTCACAAAGCTATGAAAACAGGGTAAAATGAATACAGAGAGATGTCTTTCATCAGGTCTCACAGTATTTGGATTAGAGTGGCACTCTAGCCCAGCAGGGATAGCCTGGTGCTTCTGTACTTTTAAGATTCTGTACATTAAAAATTGCATACTAATATATGAACTGTAGAATTTGTAAGGAGTTGTTTATTTCAGCTGGATTAGTGCTTTGATTTCAATAAATAAAACAGTAGGGTAGGCTCTCAGGAGAGGTGGTTCCAGCCTTGCACGTACAGCAGAAAATCAGCATCCAATAATTCTTCAGGAGATTAGGTGTGGATTAGTGAAGGAAAGATAAGGAATTTTGAGGTGAATTGTGTGAATCTAAATGTGTCAGTGCTGGCAAATTGACGGCTACTCTGCTCCCAGCGGCACAGTGATCCGAAGTATGATCTTGCTTCTTTACCCCTGCTGCCTGTAGTACCCAAAATAGGACACAAAAGAGGAGGACTGTCATTTTTAAGGCTAATGAATGTTCTGGTAGCTGATAATACAAGTTATTGCTGTGAAAAAGACATTTTCTAGTAGTTGAATAGCCACTGTATACTTGGTGTGCTGTGTAATAGGACTGGGGGAGGCGACTCAGTCTCCAAGTGGGTGTGCAACAAGTGCATGCTCCACAGGAGCCCTGTGCTGCTCTGTCACCAGTAACTGTGGAGTTCTGATGTGCTCACATGACAACAACCATGTTGTGTAAAGGATTGGAATCTACCTGAAGACTTGCGAAGGATTTTTGTCTCAAGATCCATTGGAATGGTGACATGTTGGAAGCAAGTATTCTGTAGGGGGATTCTCAAGCTAAAAAGTTAGCTTGTATAAGTTTCAATACTAACGAGTAACGTCTGATTTTGTTAACTTATTGCACAATGCATCTTTACAGCATGGCATGTTGCCTCCAAGTTTCTCTAGTCTTGTCTTCATTAAATTTAACCTAAGTTCTGTGAGAGTGGGATCCTGTCTGGTGTTGGGAAGCTGTAAGCAAACTTAAAGCTCAGCCGGTCGCTCCCATCTGCCTCTCCTTGCTGTCTGTACTTGCTGTGCAGTAGTTTTATCCTTCCCTAAGGCATACTAATTTCTGTGTTGTGGCTTTGGTTTATTATTATCTGATGCTCTGAAGCACTGGGTCAGACAAGAGAGCTGCATCAACTGGAAAGTGACTTGTAGCAGCATTTTTTGCTTGTGCTGATTTGAGATTTGCCTGATAAACTGAGAGCAGTGGCTATAGTGAGTGTGCTGCATGGTTCAATGTGTCTGTTGCAGGCAGGGGGAATATTCCAGCTTCCTGTGATTCACTGTATGTCACAGATTTTGGTTTTATTAATTTTTTTTTTAAATGTTAATGTAGGGATTTGTCATTGAAGAGCACATTATCAAAAATTCATATTAAAATAAAAAAAGTATTTGAACTGAGGTTGTGACTGTATTTAAATAGATTTTATTTACTGTAAGTTGCAGAGAAGATCCTCTGCAATGGCAGTTCAATTAATTTTATTAGAAGGATAAATAAGCAGTTTTGTTTCCTTTATCAACTGTTTTCCCAATGGGTGTAGAACTCCTATTCTTACAGTGAAACCACTATGAAGGGGTACTCAGAGTATTTTTCAGTTGTGACAGAAAGATTTCTGATCTCAAAACAGTGATTCTGCTACAGAACAAAACCTGGAAGTATTACTGGTGCTGGAGGACAACTGACACCTGATGGCACGTAGCTGAATCTGATGAATGTTGACATGACAGTGCTTAAGAGCTTAGGCTGAAAGAAATGCTGGACATATAAGCAGATATTTTTTTGCCAACTATGAGAGTACTGGGATGGTTTTTAGAAAATGCATAACAGGAACTCAATCCTAATAGAGTGGGGGATAGCATCTGATAGCATCCTTGGAGTAACTGTTGTTCTAGAGGAAAAAATGCTCTGGATTCTAACATAACATCAATTAGAAATGTGAGAGAATTCCTGAACTGTATCACAGAGCAGACAGAGGGCGTAAGGTCCTTCCCTGGATATTGGCGAAAGCGATGTGAAGCACCTGGAAACATCCAAGAATTTAAGGCAGGAATTGGAAGGCAAACAATCCTAAAAAAGTAGCTGCAGTTCCATTGTGAGACCACTGGTGGTCCTGGGTTTTGCCTTTCTTTTGTGGCAGTATATGGCAGTGTAATTTTTCTGGCTGTTCCCCATCAAATGTCTATAGCATTTTGTAGTAATAATTCTGTGTTTCCTCTTATCTGATACATGGCCTAACTAAATAGAGGGCTATAAATACATGGGTCACAGTGTGAGAGAAGTTGTCAACACATGGCTAGATTGATAATCTACAGAAAGGCAATAACGTGGCCCTGGGTGGTAGGTCTCATGAGTCTAGAAGTCATGCCTGAGAAGACAAGGAGACTTGGTTGGTGGGGGGGGAGAAAAAAGTAGAAATGGTTGTATATCGTATTGTTTTGTTCTTCAAGAAGAATAAAGGCAAGTATATGACAACTGTAGATCCATGCACACTGCACCTATTTTCTACTAAGCAACGATGTTTCAAATAATCTGCTACTTCAGGCTGGAGCGCCTTGTAAAAGCAGAATTATTTCCTGCAGCTGTGTTATGAATGTTGAGAATCATGTGATTCTGTGACTGCCAGTCTCATTAGAGGCTCTATGGAGATCAATAATTGGTATGACAAATTATGTTTTCATGCTGGAAAACAGATGTCTCATAGGCTTCTAATTAAAAAATAAATAAAAAAAGCTTTTCAGAAATCAGGGAAGATTTGTTACAGATACATTTTACATTTCAATTAAATAATTCACTCTGTCAAGCTTTGAGTTGTAAACTCTCATGTGCGTTCTTTAGTTAGTATTCTTGTTTTCTTCTTTCAGCCCTCCATGCTTGTGGATTGAAGCCCTTTTCTGAGCAGCATCCTGCCAGCAAGGCTGTACCAACTTCCATTTCTGTGTCCAGGTAATTTTTATGTGGGAAGATTTGTGACTGATGGAAACACATTTGAGGAGTCAGTGGGCTTCCCTCATGTTATGTCCTGCTGCAAATAAAATTGGAGCAGGGGTAAATGTGGGTGACCAAGATGGTCCTCCTTCCAGACTGGACACAGCCCTGTGCAAGCAGCTTCCTTCTTTGTGAAGAAGGTAGGATTAGGTAAAGACATAAATTAGGCTATGATTTAATATTTTCTTAAATCTGAAGAACATCTGTAAGGTTCCTGTTTGCTACCACTTGAGAATGCCTTTCATGGGAACTGAAATCCTCCCAGATGTTGTTTGCAGCCTACAGACCTAGTCTTGTTGCTGCAACCAAGCAGGAACCAACCATGGTTCTTCTGTGTGCTTGAGCAGGTGATATTTAAACCAGAAAAGAGTACCTGTTTGCCCTCACACTGTTTCAGGGGAGACACTCATATGAATAAAAGGATATTCTGTGGCACAGGGGCGTACTGCTAAAAAATTAATTTATGAGAAAAAGAAGAGTTTGGAAATAAAGTCCTGGAGTGATGCAATTCGTTGTTATAGCCTTTACTAAAAATATTACTTTGAAGTTAATTCTCATGGAAATATTGGTTAAAGTTGCATGTTCTTCCATAAGGGATTTTGTGATTTTGTGATTATGATTTTGTTAGCTAAAGAACAGGCCATTAACATTCTATGCCAAAGTCGTCATTTTTGTAGAAAGTAATGTAATTACATGCTGTCCAGCTAGGAAAAGGGCACGTGGCCAGAAACGCGTGGGTTATCATCAAGATGTCAGGTGTTCCTCTGCGCTGAGAATCCCTCATCCAGACAATGTTCTGTTTGAGTGCATTTTAATGAGCACTGCTGAAGCTGTGAATGATCTGTCAGCACTTTTATTAGGCATCTTATTATTAAAGAGTTTATAGCTTGGCTGTAAAACCTTGCTGTGGGCTAAAACTAGTTAAATAATAGTTTCAGAGAACTGTTTGGTGCCAAATTTAATTCAGATAGCTTTAGGCTTTTTTCCATGTTTGTATCAGAAGGCAATATGCAAGTTCTGATTGAAATCTTTGGAAGTATGGCAAGATAAAACACAAATGGCCTAGATCTGAAGCCTTTCTCATAGCAGACAGTAAGACAGCATAGTATTGTAGAATGTGTTTCATGTATAACTGTGCACAGTGGCTGCAGCAGTGGGCTTAATGTTTCGGAGCAGAAGATGAAGACCACAGTAAAACAGAATCCTGTTTTGTCTGAGCTGGGTCTTTAAAATCAGAGCTACCCTGAGGCTGGCTGTGAAAAATGTAATTGACTAGCTCTGACAGGAATAATGACTTAATTTAAAACAAAAACTATTAATTTAAAATGCTGCTTTCACGTTACTTTTTTCCACGTTGTACACAGTAAACAGCTCAGCAGAGCAATTAACTTGCAAGGCTCTTGTTTGTGGAACAAGCGCTCTCATTTCGCACATCAGCATTCACAGTTTGGAAAGATTTTCTGCCAAGTCAAAGCAAACACTTCAGGAGGAGGTGGCATCAAATAGTGCATCGTGTTATTGCCACTTCAAGACTTTGGGTGTGGAGAAGTATTATTCTTTGACTTTATAAACATTGCTGGCAGAGAAGTTGCATAAACCTGTAGCTAAAGAATCTAAGCTTAGAAAGATCAAAGAGGTAAAGAACAGCAAGTGGTGTGTGAAGACCTACTGATGTTTGTTTTGTTTCAGTCCGTCATGCAGTACATGTCGCATCAGTCATTCTCTGTCTGTCAGTGGCTGCCTGTCACAGGCGGATTCTGGAGGGTGAAAAATTGGCCTATTTTCTTGTCAACAGAGCTGTGTCTGGAGCAACTTTTCTAAAGTGATCAGTCTACCTGGGCAAACGTGCTGGAGAGATCTGTTTGTTTGGGAAAGCAGCTTTGTTGGGCAGCATTGTCACTGATCGCATGCCCCCAGGCTGTGGTCTGTCTGATGTCCACTGAGCTGTGCAGTGTGAAGGTAGCTGTGGGCAGGTTTTATGAGCTGCCTTTGTTATGGTTTTTGGTTCTTTAATACGTGCATGGCATTCAAGGAAGAATGTCAAAGCCAGGGGAGTTCCTCCTTTGTTGTTCTCATTTGCCTTTCTTCTTCATTACTTCAGCTGTTTACCAGCTATGGCAGCTGATGTGTGCCGATTATAATGCAAAACCGATGAGTCACCTTGCAAATACTCTCAGGCTGCTTCTGTGGAGCATAAGATTGAAATAAATACCATTTTCTACCAAAAGCTCATTTATCATGCTTTTTACACACTGGAAAATTTTTGTATTTAAAAAAAAAAAAAAAATAGCAATGGGTGAATTTGGGATGGAACCTAAGCATCTCAGTTAAGAGTTGTACTCTGAAAACAGAAATACTAGTAATTAAGCTATTCATTTTTAATCAAGTATTACAGCTTTTCTAAATATTGGACAGTGTAAGAGTATCTACGGTTTATCTACAGTTCTTTCATTTGATCACAGTGAAGAGTCCTCTCTGGTGATTTTCAGTTTGAATCATTAATATCTGCAGGTTATTACTATTGATGAGTTTTCAGTAGATTTATGAGAAGACTGGACTAGATGAGGGATTCGGAGAGATTTAGTTCTCTTTATTCATTGGGAAAATTTGAAAGATGATGCCAAATTTTGAGAACCTCTCGAAAGTAAAGCCACTGGCATTTAGGCTTTAGAATATATCTTCCTGTCTTGGAAGAGGAAAAAAAATCCTTGTTTGTGGAAACATCTGGGGCAGCTGCACTTGGCTTCAAGCGTGTGGTTCAGGGTACTTGTGCACTGAAAACGGAACATGTGTTAGCTGAATTGCATGGCTTGCAGGAGTTTAATCCGCAAGATGAGTTTTTACACTGGCGGTGTGTGGACAGAGCATCTTTTTTTGTGCTACGTAGTTGAACATAATATACCTTTCAGTACTTGTTTCACGTAGTTTAATTTTTAGAGAGGAGATGGCTCTAAGATTTTTGGTGTCCTTGTAAAAGTGTCATGGATACTTAGCTGCTGCTTCTTTCTGTGAATATTTATTATTTCACTTCAATTCCTAGCAAACTAAATGTGAGGACAGTGGACATAAAGACTCGCTGCACGAATTTCAGGTACAGACAATATAGATAAGTGTATCTAAGAATGTAATTTAGTCTACAGCGTTAACTAAGGCTTTTTTGAAGTTCAAACCACGACTCAGTGCTGGGTTTCCCAACAACTGCTGCTGATGCTCAAAGATATTTTGGCCTGGGCTTCTAACTTCAAGTGGTCACTGTAGCGTTTATGAGTAAACAAGATTTTGTCTGAGCTGATGGCAAAGGGATGCTGACTTAATAACTGTGTGTATCTAAGCTAGAGCAGTGGGTACAATTAATCCTTCTAAGAAACTCACACACGTGGCAGTGTGTGCTGTAGCTTTCTGGAAGCTGTCTCCCCAGCTACTGATTAAGCAGAGCACATGAAGTCCAGGCTCAAAAGAGCCAGTAATTTATCTCTTGCTCTGCACGTGGCAAACAGTTTTTTAAAGTTGAGAAAATCCTGTCACTGTTGATCCCTTTAACCCCTTTTTGGCTTCCATGAAGCCTACACAACAACTTAGAAAACAGAGGGATGGCTGGCATACAGGGTGATCACATCACCTGTGCCTCCTTAGGCCGCCACACCGAATGGGCAGGGAAATCTATGATAACACTAAATTTTTGTTTCAAAGGTCAACTTCATGGGAAAGTTCTTTGATGAATTTTTAAACGGTCTCACAGAAAATCAGGAATAGCATTTGTACTGTCAGTTACTTTTTAAAAGTTTGTTAATGAGTTCCTGGTACTCTTTCTCCAATTAATTGTTCTTATTGGATGAACTGTAATTTCAAATGTGAATTTTTCGTAACTTAGGTGCTTTCTTATTGCAGACGTGAGACTGAATTGTAAGAAAATTAAAGTACATGTTTGAAAAGCGAATATTCATAGAATACATATACATTGAGTTAAATGCTTTAGTCTTGACATTAAAATAATTGAATTGACTGAGGTAAACAAATGTTGCTTAAAATGTTGCTTATTTACTTAAAAGTAAATTCTCAAGGCATCAGCTAAATATCTCACGTTATTGCAGAGCTTTATCCTGTCTTTTATGAGAGTAGTGAAACAAATGCTTTGCTTTTCAAAGCAATGAAATAAATTCTTCCAGTGAAATGATGTAAAAAGAGAGGTAAAAATGGTGTTCTGTTCTGTATGTACCCTAGTGGCTGCTAAGGGATGGAGAGCAGTTAGACAAAGGAAATCCGAAAGAGAAATGATGAGAGTACTCAGAAAAAGGAGAAGAAAAAATATGCCTAAGAGTTTTTATGTTAGTTTAGACTGTGAGAAAAGTAGAATGGAGACAGAGGTCAATGAGCAGAACACAAACTACCATGCTTTCAGATTACAATAATTTTGGTATTATCTACACTGCTTATTTAAAAGAGTTTATTGGATTCATTCATAATTCTAAACCTTTTCTGTTCTTAATTGTTAGATTGTTTAAACTTTAATACCTGTAGTTATGCATCCACTTGGGTATTCTGAAATATCTCTATGCTGCCAAAGTATTGTTTAGTAAGTCCTGTTGGTGACAATTGGACTATTCCTCTTCCTATAGCTCAGGGGCTGACAAAACCCTTCAGTTTAACAAGTGTGACTTCGATATATCACACTCCATTACATTTCATCCGGTTATCCCATCTTACAGATAGAGATTTCAGTCAACAAGTAGATTAAGTCGATTAGTCTGGGAGACTGAACTTTATACAACACACTGAATAGCAGAGATCAGGATGCTGTTTCTGTCAAGTACCTGCAGCAAACAAAGACTTGAGTGGGAATTGCCTGGGTGATCATAGGTTAGGTTGTCAGGGACCTCAACGATGATTTACTTCTAATCTTTTCCCAGTCACCAGAGCAGTCTGCCCAGGATCCCATCCAACCTGGTTTTGAATGCCTC